GTTTATTGCCAAATGTTGAGCAGGTTTACAACATTAGGAAATTGCTGTGGTGCTTCAGTGCAAACATACTGTCATAAAAATATAAAAATAAGAATAAGAATTAAAAGTGCTAAGTGGATAGATATATACATGATATATACATGAGTGCAGGTGGTGATCAGTGCCAAACATGGAATGATGCAGTGACACAGCGTAGGGTCATGTGTTAGTGGTGGGAACAGTCATACGGTTATTGTTCATGTGTCCGACAGCAGAGGGGAAGAAACTGTTCTTATGGCGAGAGGTTCTGGTGCGAATGGACCGGAGCCTCCTGCCTGAGGGGAGCAGGTCAAACAGACTGTGTCCAGGGTGAGAAGGGTCAGCTGAGATCCGAGCTGCACGCCCCAGTGTCCTGGAGGTGTACAGGTCCTGCAGAGATGGGAGTCTGCAGCCAATCACCTTCTCAGCAGAGCGCACAACACGCTGCAGTCTCTGTTTGTCCCTGATAGTGGCTCCAGCGTACCACACGGTGATGGAGGAGGTGAGGATGGACTCGATGATTGCAGTGTAGGATTGCATCATCGTCCGTGTTGGCAGGTTGAATTTCTTCAGCTGCCTCAGGAAGTACATCCTCTGCTGGGCTTTCTTAATGACGGAAGTGATGGTGGGCTCCCACTTCAGGTCCTGGGTGATGGTGGTACCCAGGAAGCGGAATGAGTCCACAGAGGTGATGGGGGTGTCAGTCAGGATGATGGGGGGGATGGAGCTGTGTGCTTCCTGAAGTCCACAATAATCTCCACTGTCTTCTGGGCATTCAGCACCAGGTTGTTGTGGCTGCACCAGGACACCAGACGTTCAACCTCCCTCCTGTAGGCAGACTCGTCCCCGTCCGAGATGAGTCCGATAACGGTGGTGTCATCTGCAAACTTGATTAGCTTGACAGACTGGTGGGTGGAGGTGCAACAGTTGGTGTACAGGGAGAAGAGCAGAGGAGAAAGAACACAGCCCTGAGGGGAGCCGGTGCTGATGGTCCGGGAGTCCGAGACATTCTTTCCCAGCCTCACATGCTGCTTCCTGTCCGTCAGGAAGTCAGTGATCCACCGGCAGATGGGATCAGGCACATTCATCTGGGAAAGCTTGCCTCGGAGATGGTCTGGAAGGATGGTGTTGAAGGCAGAGCTGAAGTCCACAAACAGGATCCTGGCGTAGGTTCCTGGGGAGTCCAGATCCTGCAGGATGAAGTGTAGGGCCATGTTGATGGCGTCATCTACAGACCTGTTGGCTCTATATGCAAACTGCAGGGGGTCCAGGAGGGGGGCCGTGAGGGTCCTGAGATGGGAGAGAACTAGGCGCTCAAATGACTTCATGACCACAGATGTCAGAGCCACGGGTCTGTAGTCATTTAGTCCAGTGATCCTAGGTTTCTTGGGGACAGGGATTATGGTGGAGGACTTGAAGCAGGCAGGCACATGACATGCCTGCAGTGAGGAGTTGAAAATGCCAGAAAACACTGGGGCCAGCTCGTTTGCACAGTGTCTGAGGGTGGAAGGAGACACACCGTCTGGGCCGGGAGCTTTTCGAGCATTCAGACTCTTAAACTGCTTCCTCACATCTGCTTCATGAATATGAAGAGTTGTGGTGGGAGGAGGTGGTGTGAAATCCTCTTTTGTGTGGGGTGAGGAGGGGGGTGTTGTAGGTGAACAGTTTGAAGGTGGTGATGGCTCTATGGAGGGGGGAGAGGTGGGGGAATGAGTGTCCAAAGTGTCTCTATTGTTGGGGCCGTTGAGGTGTGAAGGCTGCCTGATGGCTCGTCAAAACGGCAGTAAAAGTCGTTAAGGGTGTTGGCCAAGAGCAAGTCATCAGTGGAGTGGGGGGTTTTAGGCTTGTAGTTGGTGATATTCCTAAAACCTTTCCACACAGAGGCCGAGTCATTCTCTGAGATCTGCTGCTGCATCTTCTCAGAGTGCTGATGTTTAGCAATGTCCATTTCTTTAGTGAACCTGTACTTGGCCTCTCTGTAGCAGTCCCTGTCTCCGCTTCTGAACGCCTTTCTCTTTTCCAGCCACAGCTTTTTGAGTTTAGGAGTAAACCAGGGTTTGTCATTGTTATAACTCACCCTAGTTATACATCATTTCCATCCCTTCTTCTTACTGTGTTGAGCCATCAGAGATGCTTCATATTTCCATGTTTTACAGGATTGTCTGCCTGGAGTCTGTCGTCATTGTGCTTAAATAGTAGTTTTGACTTTTCATGTAAATGTCAGGATAGGCAGCATCTTCTTTAACTAGTTCAAGCTGCCAAAATAAATCCATAATTAAATTTTAATCCTCATAAAAGGCTGAAAATATTTGTTCTGAATCCAAAACAGTTAGATCTAGTTTGTTAATTTCCCTCGTTTTGTTATTACCCTAGAGTAGCTTTGGTGTATCTTTTCTCTCTCAGTTAATATTTATTATAAACATCCATCATAACAGCATATATGCAATTACTGGTCACTTTGTTAGGTACACCTTGTTTATAGCAGGTATGACCCCTGTTGCTGACAGAACTGCGTCATGAAGTCATGTTCATTAATTGTTGACTTGAATCTGCCGTTCCACCTCATCCCAAAGATGCTCTATTGGAGTACAGTGAACTCATCTTCATGTTCAAGAAACCAGTTTGAGATGATTTGAGCTGGAAGCAGCCATCAAAGATGGGTACAGTGTGGTTATAAAGTGATAGACATGGTCGGCATTAGCTGGGCTGTGGTGGTTAAACAATGCTAAGCTGGTACTAATTGGCTCAAAGTATGCCTAGAAAATATTCTCCACACTCTCACACCGCTATGAGCAACTTGAAATGTTAATACAAGGCAAGATGTTCATTCTTTTATGTCGTTTACACCAAATTCTAACCCTACCATTTGAATGTCACAGCAGTCATCAGACCAGCAACATCTTTTCAATCTTCCGCTGTGTCCAGCTTTGGCAAGCCTGTTCAAACTGCTGCCTCAGTATTTGTTGCTCTAACTGTGGGAATTGGCACCAGCCTTGGTGTCTTTCAGAGGAACTGCTCCTGTTAGTTGTTTGCACTTCCATTCTGGATTAATTTTTCAGACCTGGAGGTTACTACTTGTAAATACGTGGAGTCTCATACACATTTTAAATGAAAACTTGTTAGTTAACAGATTTGAAGCAGTGGAAATTGTAACCACTCAAAGACATTTAGAACAGCGACAGGTCCCCAGCTCTAATCTGTTTCTTTGTTTTGTAAGCTGGTGCAGACCCAGGACGTGCTGGAGACATTACATCTCATGGCGGGGCTGAGCACCCTGATACCACACCTTCACTTTGGAAGAGGTGGAGTAGGTGGCTGGGGAGAGGGTGGTGCTGGGATCCCATATGTTTAAATAAAATGTAATTTAAAATTGCTTTGACTGCTGGCCCTTGCAACTCAGACACTAATATATATGTGGATATATATGTGGATTTATCTTTTTTTTGTTGTTGTTGTTCCTGAGTAATTAAGCTCCGGTCTGACGCATTAGACTTCCAAGGGAAGCTGCAGCTGTCAGGGAGTGCCATTGCCATATGGGAGGTGTAATTTGGCTGTAATAATTAAGTAGGGCAGTCTGTGTGAAAACAACATCCACATAAAAACCAGGATCCATTGCAGCGTGGCAAATGTAATTGGGTTTTAATGTTGGTGCTAGCTGATTTATGTGGAAAATACTGGGTAAAGTTTGTAAAGTTGAACAAGTAAATGAAAAGTATGTTAAGGATTAATAAAACAGTTGGAATAACTGCAAATGCTGAAATAATGTAATGATGCAACTGCTAGGAAGTTGAGGGTTAAATTGTTTTAGACACCATCTGCGGTGTAACTGTAATAGCTCTCTGGCATGTGAGAAGGAAGCGCCAAATGGTGAACGATATTAGTTTCAGGTGCACAGCACATACGATTGTGCTGAAGATACGTCCCATTACAAAGTGACTGAATGGTTCTTTTAACAGATTTATTTTTCAGGTAATTAACAGTCATTTAAACCTGACTAAAGCCCTAAAATAGATGCATTTTGTGAACCAAAAAGACTAATTCATGTAAAACATGAAAGTCACAAGACTGTGAAACCACATCACCAGAGAAAACCTGCTGGGACCAGACTGTACAAATCACGTTTCCATCCTGCCTTTTTCTTTCTGTGTATCAGAGCAGCTGACAGTTAAAGCAAAAGCACAACTGGTTTCAGTTCCTTAAAACAAAGACAGTGTAAACAGTGTTTAATGGTATGAGGTCCAAAAGTCATTGAAGTTAGATGATAACTGAAATCTTTTTCTGGGTCATGTGACAGTGATTTTTACAGGGTTTTTTTTAGTAGAAAAGTCCAATTTAAGCTCAGTTATAAGAGAAAGAGCAATTTGAAGTTGACATCCGACACCTCAGGTGTTGCACTAGACTGTGGTGGTGACAGGAGAACTGAGCCAGAAGGTGAACGTTTTGATTTACTAGTCGATCTGCATTCCAGATCTCAGAAACGTTGAGTAGTGAAGAAATCACAGACGCAAGCAGCAGAAATGAGTTTCTCCTGAAGGGTTCAGTCTTTGACATATGGTGAGGAGTTTGAGTGGCAACCATACAGAGAGCATCAACAACTTTGCACATATATGGTTGGTTTTGTGCATGATTAGTGGTTTGAATTAGATTTTGGTGGTTTTGTGTTGTGCTTGTTTTTTTTTGTTTGTTTTGTTTTTAGCTCTGCTCTCAGAAACCAGAAACATAAACACTCTTAGCACTGCAAAGCCCAAAGATCTCTAAAAGCTTTGTATTATGAACAAATCGTTATAAAATCTAACTCAACAATGTAAATCCACAGCCTGATGGAGCTTATTCTGCTTTACTGTGTTGTTCAAAAAAAAAGCAGACGATTGTCAGAATTTTTATTATGTCTACAAAGACTTAGATGCTTTAGAAAATCGCTGAGGTTTACTCCCTGAGAGGAGATTGCCATTTCTTTACCTTCTTCATCTTCTTTTCTACAGATGCAGTGATGCTTTTAACCTCCACACAGTGACTCCACATCACCAACACCAGCCTCGCTTCCAGCTCCAATGATCTTCCACCTCTGACTCTTTCCTAAAATTGACCAGTAGGTGGGGCCAGCCCTGCCCAGGTGGGGTGGCCAGCGATGGAAGGCCGACGTGGAGGCAGCAGCAGCGGTAGCTACTCACAGATCCCTGTCAGAACAGGCATGGGGTCTGTCAACTCCCCGGCCGTTTCTGTGAGATTGGAGGCGTACGACATCGGAGAGAAGAAATGCATCTCGGATGTGAGGAGGACTTTCTGCCTCTTTGTCACCTTTGACCTCTTGTTCGTCACCATGCTCTGGATCATAGAACTCAATGTAAGTCTGTGTTTGTAGTGGCTGTGACAGCAGTTTTGTTTTTTTTATTAGATATCTGTAGTAATAAAGTTTTTACAGCAATGTAAAACCACACGAGATTAAGATGTATCACCAGACAGTGAGCCTTTTTGACTGGGTCAGCCTACTCGGGAGAAATTTATTGGATGCATCTGCTGTCTTCTATGTATTTTGCTCAAGAAAAAACTAAAAGTGAAGATGATTTTATTATTTCCCAGAGATTAAAGGGTTATTTAAAAGTAAAGTTAAACAAAGTCAGGAAAGATAAAACGCTAGTATTGAAGTTTTTAAAAAACTCCAAAGTAAGTGAAGCCGTTAAAAGGCCAGGCTCAGAGCCTTTGGTTTTGCTTTTTTGTGGAAAAACATTTATTGTTCTTTTACAGCATTTAGAGTTGTTTCTTTCAGCTTGTGGTGGACTTTCGGATTGACAGTATCATTCCTATCTGCTTTTACTTTTGTGCCTGATCGGTACGATTAACAGCAGTCAGCTTGACGCACAACTGAACTGAATAACAAAAATAAACACACCGTAGATTTCTGATGCACTAAATCACTTTGGAGGAAAAATGAGTTTCCTCTGCTGACTGACAGTTATTGTTTGTTGAGCTCAGTTGTATGAAAGTTCAGAGGAACTCATGAGTAGCCACCGATTTGTACACAACTGATAGCAAAGTGTGGAATATAGCATTACATGTGAACAAAGGTTTAAAGCTGGTGAAGAATGCATGTTCCTTATCTGTACAGACTTTTTCTTAACTAAACTATCAAGTGGTTTAGTTGGTATCGTGGTTTACAGTGGTTCGCCTACCAGGTGAAAGATCCCAGAAGGAGACGCTTATCCCATTGGGTTTGGTTCAGGAAAGGCATCTACCTGCTGTGGTGACTTCTTGTGACAAGGGAGAAGTAATACCATTACTTCTTCCTGTTCACAATTTTTATCTTTGTAACAACAAATCATTGACTAATAAAACCAGCTGCTTTTTCAGTGAGTCTCTCATCCAGTTGAGCTCCAAATCCACCGTCTTACACATCAGTTTGCGGCAGCTATCCTCGTTCTGCTCTTGGTGAGCTTCATATAGAGGTACAGAAGCCAGTTCTTGACATGGTGCAGGTTCTGCAGATGGCCTCTGTTGAGGGCTTCAGTCCAGTTAGGTGGAGTCAGACAGCTGGATGAGAGACTCTCTGGAGAAGCAACTACAGAACTCCCAGAATAGCATCATAACCAGAGAGCCGGTTGGTAGTGATGACAGAATAAAGGTAGAGCAGATAGACACTGAACTTTCAAAATAAGAGCCACAGGATTGTCCATAAGTAAATCAGTCGCAGATGGCAACGTCCTTTAAGATGGATTAGAAAGGTATACCCGTTGATATACCTGATTAGATCTGTGCGCTGTCATACAACGCAGCGGCCAGATTGCACCAGACTGTCTTCCTCCACAGTTATTTAAATGGACTATAAAAAAATATGCAATAAGATTAATGCTACAGGATATTTTAACCAAACCAAAATATTTGTGCTTTCTCAGCACTGCCCCACCACTAACATCTGGATGAGTGTTAGAAAGCTAACTAACTTTATCAAATTACATCCATGCTTTGTTTTAAAAGGAAAGAACTTCTTGTCTTTAACAAAACGGCAGTGTTGTTAACCCATCCAGATAAAAACAAAAACATATGTTTGTTTCTATTCTTTTATCATGGTGGCAGTTTAGGAGGAGCTCTTGCAGGAACTTTTCTGGTTTTTAGTTACTGAAATGCTGCAGTATGTGCAGGGTGCTGATCTTTGTTTTTTCTGCTTTGAACCGTGATCTCAGGGTCTGCTGATTTAAACTAATGGAGAGTTTACAGGCTCGTGCTGCAGTATTGAAGCGTCCAGCATGTTGGAGCAGTGTTTGTGTCCTCCAGGACTCTGAACTGTTTACAGTATTTGACTGAAAGTTTTAATTTATTCTGAACACGTTTATCTTCTTAGATGACAGCAATCATTAATTAAGCCGAGTGGACTCTGTCGCTCTCCTTTTTGAAGATGTTGCTCAGGGTTGTTGCTTTTTCTGTAAATGTCACATGTGAAAAAAGCCAGAAGGAACATTTAGTAAAAAATGTTACTAAAATGCCATCACGATAAGAGATGGATAAAGTCAGCAGAATTATCAAACACATTCCTGTAAGGGTGCATTTAGATACCACAAACAAACAGAGTTTATGAACTACAGAAAAAAAAATTTTTTTTAATCTTGTGCACATATTTTAATATGGTTTCTGCTCAGTTTGCCTGTTTACATGTTTTACTATTTTATCTTATCTGACTTGTTAAAAACAGGTCTGTTAACCATTAATCGTGAGGAAGCCGTTACATTATTGTCAGTCGTCCTCGGTCATGATAGGTTACTGTGTTTTATCGCTCTGGAACTGTAAAATGCCTGCAGTTGTGCACCGAGAAACAACTTTTACAGTTGGAGAACTGAATTGTGTCAAGGTCGAGCAGAAGCAGTACAGCCTGCACGCTGGACGAGTGGATCGAGGTCATGCAGCTGATTGAGGAAGTGATTTGACTGCGGCACACATTCCCAGAATGCTCCATTTGACCTCGGCCACTAAAATAACTGTCCACGAGAGACGGACTTGTTCTCTTTTGTGTAACTGGAAGAACACCCTGCAAATGCACTGCAAACCTGCTCACTTTCAAAATGGAGAACGTTTCATCATCCATGACTTTAATCCTGAGCAGTTTTTACTCAACAGTTTGATGACTTTTTTATTTTTTTGTGAAGAAGTTTCCTTCCTTCCTCTCAGCTGTAGCACTGAACACGTTACTCTGTTTTGACTAGCTGCTGTGGGACTAGTTGGAGGAGAAGTGCTGAGTGTTAATTCAGTTCAGTTTTTTTTATATATCATTAGTAAAGTGGCCTCAAGGTGCTTTATAATTATGAGATAAAGACCCAACAGTATTGGAGAGAAAACCCCAACATTCAGACAGGGTTCATACCTTTACTGCCTTTAATACCTTTGCTATGAAAAGATACATTGTTTTGCAATTTCTGCCTCAAAAACACATTTGGACACTGATGAAGGTGACGCACCCTGCTAAGTATAGGCTAAGTATAGGTCTGTCAGCATTACTAATGGGTGCAATTTAAAATCTTTTGCTGCATTTGATCACGTTGAGGGGGTTTTATATGAATCTTTTGTTTTTAACAGTGTTTTTGATTTAATAATGTTTCAAACTAAAATAACAGAAATGGTCAGTAACAACAAAAAATCTCTATGTAGCAGAAAATAAGGAGAATAGCTCCATGTTAATACCAGTATTATGCTCATAATTACAATACTAACTTATTTTATACAAACCACATCTGAGACGTCTTGGTTGTGCAATAACTGACACATTATTATAGTAAGTATATGCTTCTTTTTTCTTGCCTAATGTTGATGAAGCAGTTATGTCATTAAATCATAGGACTCCAAAATAATCCTGTTACCACAGGATTATTTAGGTAATCAATCATTTTTCTATCCTGATTGTTTCTTCTCAAATATGAGGCGTGCATTAGTATGTAGGCTGGATTTAAGTTGGAGCTGCCAGCCAACCAAAGACAACTCAGGATGTCGATGTTGTATTTTTGCTGGCAGTTTGTTGATTTAAAAAACCAGCCTTCAACATAAGAGCACTGCAGTTGGAATTCAATGGTGTTTATACACCACTCTGCATTTAATCATTAGTTATTATTAATCTCTGGCCTCTGATTAATCTTCCCTCTGATGGTCAGGAGCAGCTTCTTTGTGTACAAGCGCCGTAAAAGAAGTTCTAGAAAGAATCTCTGGATACAGACTTTCTGAATATGTTGCAGATCGTGTTGTTGTTGGAGAGCTAAATTCCAGAGCTGAGTTTAGCCACTGACTTCAACAGTGTGGCACTTTCTGTCTAACAATTCATTCCACTCATACCGATGATGCCACTGCAGCTGATCACGAAACTGAGTAAACTAGCGAGCAAGACCTGTACTTTGTGTTTTCAGTCCAAGTTCCTGCTCTTTCATTTAGTTTGCTTCTGTGTTTATCACAGAGGGGAGTCGAGTTCACAGCCCTCTAACACAAAAAGCTGAAATCCTCCAGTCTCATTTAATGTACCTAGTTTTTCAAACATCTATTTAGGATGATAATAAAAATGTACATTATCATCTCATATAAATCGAAATATTAATTATAGCACAGTGACGAAGACCAGTATAAGAAGTAATGAAGGGAAATCTTGATCCCAGCTTTGTGTGCAACTAGCTGGACTCTTTAGTCGGTAAAGTGAATTATTTCATATTTCAATTCATATTGAGTCTAAGATGTTGTAGCGGGGATTGAGAGATCGCATTTCTTTATCACTTTGATCTAGAAAAAGAGCAGCTGTGTGAGTAGATTGCCAGAGTAAAGCAGCCGATAACCGTTTGACCCGAGAGATCCAAACCATGGAGTGTGGTTTTGCATCTCTCGGGTCAAACGGTTATCGGCTGCTTTACTCTGGCAGTGCTAACCTTAGCCACACTGAGCTAATCTGAAACTGTGTGAGAGAGATTCATTTCAGAGACATTTGAAACAAAAGGAAGTTCATTTTTCACCCACGCAGTATTTCTGTGGTAATTTTTCACATTTGATTGAGCTCAGTTTTGAATTTTGTTGTTTAGGTGACAGCACATTATTCACTGTTAGGTCTGTACAAGCTAATGCTGACAGCTTTTAGCTTTAACTGTAAATGAAGCAAAAGTCTTTTTTTGTGTGAATTTAATGTTAAAACTCACGACTTCGTCTGAGTTGTAGCTTCTCACAGTTGCTAAACAACCTTACTCGAAGTATATTTGCAGAACCTCACAAACACATTTAAACCATTTTATCAGTGCTTAAAACCACAATATCTTTAAACGTTATCTTTCTAACCTCATGTTGCTGTTTCTTAATTTTGCAAAAATGACAGACTCGCACTGCTTCTCAGAGTGATGCACAGAAACATCAGTTCACGGCAAAGATTCACAGACACAACTGCAGCACAGTGATTTTCCAGTTATACATATTGTTAGCTAATTCAGATCAGAGTGTACCAACACCAGCGATGGATGGAAACAATCTGAGAGGAAGACGAGGAAGAACAAAACCAGGAACACGAGTTTTAGGTGAAATTTGAGCAGCTGTTCTGGATTTATACATGAAATAAGAAACTTGAAGTGTGAGACTCTTTGTCTTTCTTTCAGATATTTCTCAAACAAGAATAACATTTCCTTTATTTATAGTTCCTGTAAGTTACTCTTCTTGATCTATCTCGTCCTCCTCTGCCTCACGGATGATTTCCATCCATTGCCGGTGGGGGTGGAAGATTTTCAGCTGCTGTGCTTAGGAAATGATGCGAGTGCTGCAGATCTGTAAGCTTAACCTCTGCATCCTGTGGTTAACTTCATGCATCTTGCGGTGACTCATTGTGCAAAATGTGTTATTGAGCGAGGGAGAGCCCATTATTTAAAAAAAAAAGGCATCAAAGGAGATCTGCAAATAGAGTCTAAAATGGTGAAAGCTGTAAATGAGAGCAGGATTGTTTCAGTGAGTGAAAATGATGCAGTTGCGTTTCATTTTTGGAAGCGGAGCAGAAAGTAAAAATCTGTTGAGGTCATCAAAAGCAAAGGTGAAGCTGAGGTCTGCAAACTGTGTGCCGCTGCATTTTTCATGTCCTTTTTTTAATACATGCAGATATGAGTGCTGTTTTATTGAAGTGAAACTTTAAATATAGCACCAACACCCTCAGATTTCCTGTTGGTTCTAGAGAACTGATGCACTGCTGATGTTGTCAAGCCAGCTCTCAGTTTAAGGCATAAAATCAAGAGGAAGTCACCGAGCGAGGTCCTTTATGACCCAAGATAGCGCTGTGCGATATGATGAAATATATTGATGACGAAATGAAAAAACTATCGTTTCAAATTGTACGCTATCGTTTGTTTCGTGGTTTCCAAAATAAGCTGTTTACGGCAACGTTTTTCCATCGGGGCGCAGAGAATACCAGCATGGCCAGTGAATATGAGGCAGAACCAGGTAGCTCCAAACAGAAAGACTAGTCGAAACAAAACGAGGACCTTATTCCTAATGAGGGCCGGCCCCTGTAGCATGGACTTGATTTGGTTATGAAAAGTCTGACACACACCAGAAAACTCTACTATGCAAATTATGCCGCAAACCGGTTCCCACCACAGACTCAAACACGACAAACCTCTTCTACCACCTACGCAAGAATCATTTGAAAGGTTGTTGACAGAGTTTACAGATGAGAAGCAAAAAAGCCGTCAGGTGCTCAAAATAAACCTTAGACTCAAACGTTAGAACAGGCTTTTCCTCGCAGCACGTAATAAATACAAAGAACATGGTGGCCGTTACATATAGTTTCATGCACCAGTCAAAACACTCGGCTCCAGGAACACGACACCCAGCTGAAAACACTTCACACAAGTCGGGTTCACAGAGTTTACATAAAAAGCCCTTTTTTGTCATGTACATCGTTATCAGGATGAGAAATGTCTTACATGAGGATATGAGATTTGGGTCATCGCACAGCCCTAACCCCAAATGTTTATTTGAATCTTACAACTTCTCATGTTTTTGTGTTGTATTAAAACTTGTGATTATTATTTTAGATGGCATAAACTTACATAAAATATTCCTCTAGTAACAAAGAATATAACTGCCTCACTCAGGTCATTTTAGCCTCAGTTGTGTCAGGGTTAACTTTAACATTCAGAGTATTTGTCATGATGAGCTGTTTGTGTTTGTCAGGTGAACGGCGGCATTCAGAATCGGCTGGAACAAGAAGTCCTGCACTACGACTACCACGCCTCCTTCTTCGACATCTTTGTAAGGTTCTTTCTTTTGCTTTAAATGATCAACTTTATATCGTTTATTTTATGTGGGGGGTTTTTTCACTATTTTTTTCCTTCCTTTTTGTTTCCCTCCTCCTTCTGTGCCACCTTCACCTTCCTCCCCTCCCTCAGCTGCTGGCAGTTTTCAGGTTTGCCGTCCTCATCCTGGCCTACGCTGTCTGCAAGCTTCGTCACTGGTGGGCCATCGCGGTAGGTTTTAAGGCTGTATGCCACAACAGTGCTTCTGTAATTGCGCCAGCAGAGGGCGCTGCCCAGCAAGAGCTCACATTGTTGGGTGCACAGTGAAGTGGATGCACTAATTCTTGTTTCTGTGCATTAAATATGTCATCAGGGGGCATCAGTGTTTGTTACAGGCTGATTCTGTGATTTTCCATTTCACTTCATTATATTCAGTATATTTAGAGAGTTAAAGACCATTAACATGAGGATGTTTTCAGGTAAAAGGGGTTCTGTTTAAAATATTAGCAAAAATAACAGCATGAGCATTTCTGATGTTTTCTGTCTTTGTGCAGATCACCACTGCAGTCAGCTGTGCTTTCCTGATTGCTAAAGTCATTTTGTCGAAGGTAAGAAGAAGCTTTACAATTCCTAACTGTCTGCACTCCTGGGTGTGTACACACACACACACACACACACACACACACACACACACACACACACACACACACACACACACACACACACACACACAGGGTGGTACTTAAAGCTTTGATCTAAGAAACCTGACAACATCTAATATTTTCATTATTTGTAACAAAAATGTTGCACTGACTTTAGTTTTTTTACTTCTAATAATATCTTTATTTATTTTAGTATTGGTGTCAATGTCCACACACAAAAACCTCTTAGAGGACAGTTTGTTGTTGGAGTTAATTTTCCTCTGCAGTCTTTGCTCCATATTCCCCGATGGCGATGCCAACATGTATGAGGATTTAAGGAAGTGAAGCAAACTCCCTGTACAGGAAAACCTGTAATTGCTGCTGCTTAACAATAATAAATATTTGTTTTTGCACCTTCTAAATTTTAAATGGTCAGATTTTGTATGCTTTGTGTAGAATTACGTATTCATATTGGGACGTGTGTGTTTCTTGTGTAGCTGCTGAGTCAGGGGGCCTTTGGGTACCTGCTGCCCATCATCTCCTTCGTTCTGGCCTGGATAGAAACGTGGCTGCTCGACTTCAAGGTCCTGCCTCAGGAGATCGAAGACGAAAACAGTGAGTCTCAATTGAGCTAATAATAAAAAAGGCACCTTCATTACTGTTGCAGTACTGCTGCTGTCACTAATGTGATCTCTGTCAACAGATCGTTTACCTTACAGGCTCCTTTTAAAACCTTCCTTTAAGTTAGCAAAAGAATGTGAAAAAACAAGTACTATGACTCAAGAGCCTCTGAGTGGAGAATCAAAAAGAAACAAGAAAACGATAAAGAACAGCAGCAGGCGCTCTGGTGAAACACTGCCACCTGCTGGTGAACATTCAAAGCTACATACTGAGTAATTTTATTCAGTTGTTTTATTTAAAATATATGATCATGGGATAAGAAGTTAATATTATAATTATTTATTATAATGTTAGAGTAAAAAGTGTAATGGATCAGCTGCCTGTTGCTATTTCACAGGTAATTATTAATAATTATATGCTATGAACAAAATCTGCAAATGTGTTTACTCACCTGATAAATGAAAGTTATTTCACCACTGTTATGTTATTCTAACCTCATTGATGTCCTGCTGATGCAGTTATTCCTGCTTCCTTCATCCTTCTGTGTTTCAGGACATCAGTCCATCATAGATACAAGTAGGGCTCCTCTCCTGGGTCCAGGTCCTTTATCTGATGGGCAGTTCTACTCTCCGCCAGAGTCTTTGGCAGGTCTGTTTCCTCCCACTGACATCAGACAAACCCAAACACACCCGACACACTCGCTTCAGCTGTCGCTCTTTCAGACTGCTCAGTCTGATGATTCTGACTCTTCATTCCCATTTAAATGAGCACACAGACACAAAATATGAAGATATACAGTTCATTTTATTGTCATCATTATTATTATTATTATTAGAGTTTTTAGATTTCCAGCTTTGCACTTCACACCCAGAAATGAGTGGCGTAGCTCCTTCAGTATTTGTTTCACTGCACAGTGAAAGGAGCTTTGTCATCTGCAGACATCTTATTGCTTAGAAAATAATTCAATTACTCAGCTGCCTCTGCAGTGAGCCTTCCATACAATGGGTGGGCCCATCCTTTGCAGACACAGACACTCTCCAGAGCAGAAGCAGAGCTGCAGTCGATAACACAAAATACAAAAATAATTCCCGTTTCTGTAAAATGTGAAGAATTAAAAGTGAAGGTTTATTCTCACACCAGCCTCCTGCAGCTGCTTTGAACCTGCAGCCTCCTGCAGACGACTAAGACAAGCGCGCCTCAGTTGTTTCACACAGGTCAATGAACAAGAAAATTTAAAAATGATGAAACCTGACAAGACGGGAATTGTCAGGCTGGTTATCAGTGGCTGAATTTTCAGAATAAGAGCGAAGGGCATCATCTGCTATTAAGCAGTTGTAGATGCCATTAATGTCTTTAAGGATAATACATTTAGTTGGCATGAATACCTGAGCCGTCCGGGTTCAGAGGGGTCGTCTTCTAATCTGAAGGTTGGGAGTTAAAATCCTGGCTCCACCGTTCTTTTATCGTCCTACATTTTCTGTGGTGTTTCTATAAAAACGCTGACCGATTTCCCTTTCGTGTTCAGACTCTGACGAGGAGCTGGATGATAAACACGAACGTGAAAAAGGGCTCATTACACAAGTGACTTAAAAGGGTAAGAATACGTAAAGACAGACGTCAGTCAGGATTCGTATCCACAGTATTAGTCTGATGTGCTGTTTTATTTCTCCACAGGATCTCCGATCCTGAACATGGAGGGATTTTTGGGTCCTCCAGCGTTGTGCTACTGAGGGGAAAACTTCTGCCTTACACCTTCAGCCATTTTAGTTTGTATTTGTTCATATCCACAAATGCAGCTCACGTTCTGATATCAGCCTTCTGCACGTTCACCGCGACCGGGAAAGTGCCACTTAAAAGTTTCAGTGTCATGAACTCTGGTTACTGTATGAGTTTTGCTTCTCCACCTTTAAGGAACTCGAGACCTTACAAGAGATTTATCAGAAATAAATCATTACATCCTTATCAGTATCCATCCATAATTCAAAACATTACATTCATTTTAAAACTTAAAAAAAAATATATTTACACTTTCAATTTAAAAACAGAGTGTTAATGTCTTATTTCCAGCATAATGTTTACTTATAATTCTGTGATCATTTTCTTATGCTTCGGTTGAGTCACTGCAAAGGAAAATAAGCTCGTGGATGCCACAGAAAGGATTGTTCAGCCAGTATTGAGCCTGCAGACCAGACTGTAGCAGAAAGAGAAAGTCAAACTCTTAGAGATGTTTATGATTACTTCAATGTCTTAAAAATGTGCATGAAAGAATATTAAGGTAACATATAGAGATGTGAACGATACTGTTTGTTTTGAAACGAGAGTGAAGGATTGTGTGTTAAAGAAAACGAGCCATAAACGTGCAGCATGTACACTCGGAGATTTGGGTTTAGTGCACTGAACAGAAGGGACGCTGCTCTCGAAAGCTGCTGTGACGGGCGGGGAAACGTTCTAATGCAAATGTACATATCTTCATGCATGCTTTGCAAGCTCAGTGGATGTTTATTCTTTTTTAAAGAAAAGCCCGTCTGTATAACAGAATCATTAAAATGTTAAAGGTTACGTGGTTTTGTTTAATTGTTTATGTCAAACGTCGACCTTAAAGAGATCAACAGAATAAGAACTTAGACATAAATTAGCCTTATGAATAAATAAAATGTGAAAATATCAGTTTGTTTCAGGTAATGTCAGCTGTTTATTAAAAAAATATTCCTTTTTCATCTCTATTTTTTCTTAAACCTAATTACTAGTCTTAATTAAGGTGAACAGACTCTGAATGGGGGACTTTTATTTTAATTGTGTGTAATATATTAATTACATTTATTGAATTAAATAAAGATTAACCCTTATTTTTAAAGAAGACATGCTACTGAATACATGGACTGTAGATAAAAGATGGAGGTGACCTTTTATTAGAGTTAATAGTTTTGAATTTTCTAGTTTTTATTTTTCATTCCATTTTGACTTTTTAAGGTCAGTTTAGTGTCAGTTAGTCTCCAGAGTGAATTTTCTTCTTTCAGTTTAGTTTTTAGTTTCAGTTACTTTTAGGCTTTTAAATTATTATTGTTATATGGAGGCCAAATGTCAGAGGGAACATTTATGAAAATCAGCAGAGAGATCACTAAAAATAAAGATTTATTTTACCCCCCTTTATTTTTTATTCATTAAATAAGATCAAACTAATTGGGGGGGGACTTTTTATTTAGTAATTTTTGTGGCAATAACCAAACAAACAAGCAACATATTAACATTTTCTGACATAAGACCATTTAAGAGAGAGAGGGGAAAAAAACAGACCACGATTAATATAATGATATGTCGTAGGGGAGATTTATAGCTTTATATTACAATGTTCCAAAGTTCGTGTTCATTCACCCAAGTATCTGGCCACACATCCATCCCTGGTGGAAGATCTCCACCTTCAGTTGCAGGCTTGCTGTCATTCTTTCCATTGTATGAACTCTTTTCAGTCTCTGTTTCCATTGAGTTATGGATGGTGAGTTTGTTTGTTTCCATTTCACAGTTATCCTTTTCTTAGCTATCAGTATATATTTTTCATCTATGGTATAGCTCTCTCTAGGTATAACTCCCAAGAGAAATATGGTGGGTTCAGTGCAGGATTTACTTGTAGGATTTTCTCTGTTTCTTCTTTGATTCTTATCCAGAAACCTTGAATTATTGGACAGTCCCAAAAGATGTGTGAATCGTCTCCTATCCCCCCACATTTTCTCCAACATAGTTCTGCATTGGGTTCCTTACAATATGAGGAGATAACAAGAGGTATATTAAAAAAATCTAAATTTTAAATTTCCAGTCAAACTCTCCATAATTGACTACTTGTTCCCTTGTGACAAGTTTTACACATCTCTTCCCATACATTATCAGTGATAATAATATTTAGTTCTAGTTTCCATTTCTCTTTAATATGGCCTGTATTTTAAGATCAAACTAATTTTAATATTAGATAAAAAAATAACCCAAGTAAGTAAAAAAGTGTTTCATAAATGATGATTTCGTTAGAAATCCAGAAATCACTCAAACAGAACCTGTCTGTCAAAGTGAAGCAGGCTAAAAGCTCAGAAAAACAAACATCACACCACGATGTAAAGACGCTCAAGAAAACTTATGAGAACAATTACAAAGTTATTGGCATCTATTAGTCTGCAGATGTTTGTAAGGCTTTGGGTCTCCAGTGAACAACGGAGAGGTGAACTTTCCAAGAAGCTACCAGTGACTCATCCAGGTCACAAAAGAACCCAGAATAACATCTAAAGAACTGCAAACCACAGAAATCTAACATATAAGAAATGTATAAAACCACATGTGCTCAATGGGTTGTTTTTTATTGTTATTCTTCTGTGTTTCAATTCCTGTTAAGATAAACCAGCTGGAGGGAACGCGGCAGATAAACAACTGCAGACAGAAGAAGAAACACAAAGCAGCAGTTTCTGTAATTCTCTTTTATTAATTTTTTTCTTCACATTTTTATTGACAGAAGTCAAGTAACCAAGGCATCTGTAAACAGTGCATCCACAAATCTACATGTTGCCTCTCATCAGTGCGATCGTTCAGTCATTCAAAAACACTGTTTGGAAATAAATACAATACTGATTGTTTTTTTTCTTTAAAAAAAAAGAAGAAGAAGAAGAATAAGAAGGTAAAACCTACATCTGCCTGAAGGAGCTCGTAAAGATTCAGTCTTTGTCTGTAGTCACAGTCTGGAAATGATGCCACATATGAAGCAACACACGGAGGTAAACGACTCGATGTGGTAAAATCCTGAAGCCGGAGGATGAAATACTGACACCACCTGCACGGCTGGTTATGTGCGCTAGAATGAGAAGTGAGAATTTCTGGACCTTTGAACCCCTTAAAAAGCTTTCAGCTTCATTATAAAGATTACCGCTTCTTATATTTGCTTATTCTTATGTTTTAATCATGTATTTGAGACAAGAATAGGATTCTGGTGTCTAACAAATGGCATAACTGTTAACCATTGAATCTTACTGTAATCAATCTAGTATATGAATGCTGAATGTTTCTTTAATCAGTGTAACGATACAAGGATAAGTGGTTAACATGTAACGGAATAGAATTCCGTTACGTTCCCATAGAACGCTGCTTATGATCGTTAACTAAATGAAGCTTTTGAATTCTTTATATGCAACAAGAACTGGTGCTCACGACATGAGCTTTTCAACAAGTCGACTGTTCGGTGACACATCTGGTGCGACCAAACTATGTAAGCGCCAGCTTGAATCTACGCTTGTAATGAACTGCTTCATTATGATTGCCCCACTCTGCAAGATGATGAACTGGACAGCTTCTCTATTTGAATGTCACGTGACAGTTGTGTCTGATATCGGGCTGATATGGTGTTTGAACATGTATTTGTTTTTACGTGAAAAAAAATTTCTAGTTATGTCGATTTTAATAATAAATAATTTAGATGAATAAAACGGTTCTTGTGTAAAAACATGTGCCATGGTGTGTTCTCCTGTTGCTTGTTGACTTCTTGTAAGTTTGTTAGTAATAAAAAATACACTAAGTATAACAATGGTTAAAGCACATATTATAATAGTTGTGAGTTTTGTCTGTAGGTCACTGCACTCCACCTGATTATGTAATTATTAGCCAGCCAGGACGTGGTACGTATATATAATATACTATAAGTTATATCATTATAATTATGTGTACATCATATTTCTTATGTACATTTTAGACCTGGGAGCAGAAATGCTGATGAACTGGTTTTTATTGAGGAACAGGCAGAGCGTCCTCTCTTCCTGGCTCCATGTCTATAATTATGTCACACACTGATTCGCTCACACAAAACCACCAAAACACAGGCACAAATCCCACCAATGGTTCAATTCCTTATAATCTTTGAATCAGGTACTGAAGCAGTGACGTGCTGAATGAAGCTTCAGACGTCATTGATCACGTGACTCTGTTCAGTCAACCAAGCCTCAGCACAGCGTTTCTGAAGCAGTGTGTTGATTTTTTGACACATGTGCCGGAGCTTCAGCTTCAAACGGGCCGTCACCATCAGAGTTGCTGGAACCATGTCCCACTACTGCTACTCTGTTTTATTCTGTGTTAAGTTTTGAATGTGAATTTTCTGTGTTAAGAATAACAAAGAAAATGTAATGAAGTGATTTTAAAGTTTAAACTTTGTGTTAAATCTTGTAAGTCAGAGAGAGAGAGAGATGAGGTGTGGGTGGACATCAGATGATCAAATGTCAACAACCTGATTGGCCCAAGTGTGAAGATGTGGTGTCCAGTGAGGGAAGGGGGAGAAAGGGTGAGCAGGTATAAAAGTGAGGTGAAGAAGCGATTCGGGGTTTTTTGTCCTCTGTGAGATGAGCAGTTCAGAAGTTTGGATCTAAGAGGTTCACAGTTAAAATTCCAGCAGAGAGCTAAAAGGAGAACCACAGTCCAACCTGTGAATGTTTTTAACCCTTTGTGAAACAACAAAGGCATAAATATGATCATATCAATATTATCTACTGGGTCAGACTCATAGGATCAGGGATTAGAACTCCTTTTATCAGAGAGATGAAATCTACTTCCTGTACAGGGTTTTTTTGTGGGCCTACCGATCGACAGAAACTAGAGTCAATAAAAAAACTGGACATTGGCTCAATGTGTGTGTGGCACAGGGAAACAAGGACTGAGCGCTGTGTAGTCCCACATAAAGTCAGACACCTGGTCACCCTAGGTGGACCATGGCATGGTCTATATGGAGGATACAGACACTGCTGAAAACATGACTCTGTCTGGTTTAGATGATCAAATGTCTTTACTTTAGGAGGCTGTGGCTCAGAGTACATTCACATAATGCCTTTGAATAAATG